AGCCTGCAGCACGTGCGTGTCGTGTGGGGGGGGTTTTCCCAGGACTACGCCGATGACGACGACGACGACTTTCATCTTCTTCGATGCGCGATTGCTTCGGTGCAACCTCGCGAGCCTCAAAAATGACATTTGTCATGAGGCAATGGTGAGCCGCCACTAGTGGCAAGCACTCACACGCTGTAATCCGGGCCTAGGCCCCAAGCAGTTACAGCAAGAACTATACAAGGGGCATTATGAAAACATCGAGCAAAAATCGGATCATCGGAAGGCTGGTCAATCGTTTCCAAGTACCTGCAGGAAAAGAAATGGCACACCAGGTCTGCGAACTCGCATTGAGAGGAACAGCAGTCAGCGTCCTTTTTTTGTGTGTTGTGCAGCAGACGACGACGACGACTACTACTACGACGAACACCACAAACATTATTGAACATCTTTATTGTCTGATCATTACTTCTATTATGACTACCATTATTTTTTTTACAACTTGCTACTTTTTGTTGCCTTGAAAGCTCTGGTCAAGTGACTGGCTTTGTGGCTGATGGCATTGTTTCCCAGCACGCTATACCTTAATTGCTGGTGGTCCGTAGGGAATCGGGGAATGTTTTTTCCAGGGATTATGTAGGGATTATCTTCCCTTATTCCCTAGTAACTAACCACCAGTAAGATACGCTTGCAGCTGGATTCCTCGAGCTTTGTGGTAGGACACGAATCCTTCCGGATCGGTTCCCATGCCCAGGTGCAGCTCTACCTGGACCCAATCTGCAATCTATCCCCATGACCCTAGAAGTCATGGAGAACCTGGAAATTATTCTTGATTTTCTTCATGGTGTCTTGGATCTATGAGTTTGGCTTCAATCTTCCGACTTGTAAATCTTCCAAGTCTCCCAACCCCCGCCCACACCCCCGGCAAGCGCAGGCCTGATTCACCATGGGGAGCACCGTGGCTGTAGAATTGAGGCAGTCATAGCAGCTGGGGCAATAATTAGAGACTCCTATAGCGCGCGCTTTGCCTTGCTTGTAGAACTCTTCCAAGGCCTTCCACTGTGCCCGAACCATCTGGCAGCCTCCTGACCAGCTATTGCATGACCTGGTAACCATGGAAGAAATAGGGGGGAAGTGAACGATCACCAGGTCAACATAGGAGAGATTTAGCTGCGCCAGATCCGTTTCCAGGTCTCGCTTGGTGTCTTCGTAGCACTTGAAGACGTTCAACATCGTGGAATCCATCCCGCAACCTGGAACCTTCGTCTCAACAAATATCTTCTCCCGCCCGCCTGCTTCGTTGATTGCGCGGCCCACACCCTGCTGGTTGTGGTAGTCCAAGGCAGTGTCCTCACGACCAAGGGTCTGACATAAATCTCAGTGCTGCCGGGGCCTAGGCAATCCAAAGCATGTCACTGCAGCAAGGGGAGTGTCCACCATGGTGAACCCAGCTTTGATGGCGAGCTTGTGAGACTGGTAGGCCTCTGAAATGTTGTACCTCCATATCCAGTGACAGACATGCCGATCACAGATCTTGCAACCATGAGAATGTTCTTCAACTGCGCCCGAGGTGCTGCCAAGATCCCGCAGCTATCATTGGCATCTCCTTGGCGAGCAGAAGCTCAAGGCTAGAACCTCTCTGTTCGAGACATTTCAAGACTGTACTTCCCACAACCATGAATAACCTTTTCGTGCCAAGTCTCGACGCCATTTGAAAGGGTGACTGTCGGTGGCAGTGCGGCCCCTATCTGGGCTGCCAAAGCCAAGGAAAGTGCCAGCATCTTGGGCTGCGCTGGTTCTGCTTGCCAGGCTGCCAGGTCTTGAGCTCTCAGCTGCGTGGAAGTATTTGCTTGAGGTATCACGTCGACTCGATTAGCAATGGCATGGCATTGAAATCTAGCAACCTGTCCAACTGTCATGCCTCCCTGAGGTGCGGGCGAGCACAACCACACGACCTGCTTCAAGGTCGCGCCAAAATGGCTCCGAAGCGCAACCTCTTGCTAGTGGTACATAAGGAATCAAGGAATGAATCCCTAAGGTCAACCCTATATAATCCCTGACTTTACATAGTCCCTCTTTGTTTCGATTCATTCGTTCCCTACTAATCAGCCCCTAACCCCCACACCCTAAACAAATCAGAGTAGTTTCCATGGGTTTCTGGCTCCGGGTCCATTCCCTCGTCACTACGAACCTTGCTTGCGAGCTGGGCCTTGCCTGCAAGGTAGCTTTAGCAGCGCTGCCATGGCTGAGAGATCAGAACAGTGGTCATCAACATACCTATGACAACAAAAAAAATTGCCATCATAGCTGTAGCAGCACCAACGTTAATCTGAGTTGTGGGGTAAGCCCAGTGGTTTCCCTTTTTGTTATCTGTAAGAATTTGTTGAATTGCTCCCAGCGATGCGCGAATACGCAGACCTCCAAGCCGAAGGAAGATGGCGGGAAGTGCTTCGGGCCGGCCGCAAAGAACTCGGTTACTGTAGGACCTGTGCACTCCAGCCTGCAAGTCCTGATCCCCAGGGGCAGACACCTGGGATAGTAGCACCTGGCCAGATACACTCTGTTGGCAAGGAGTCAAGGAGGCAGTGGTGTGCTGCCCAACCCGTTCAAAGATTTCATGCAGCAATGCAGGATTCCGGCCTCCAGTCGCTGGAGCTGAAAACCAGATTCCAGTTCTTCGAGGCCTTCTCAACCGGATCATTTGAGTCGGCATCTTTGGCTACCTCCAACTTAGGGGATAGCCCATAACGAAGCTGGCCATGGGTTCTTTCACATGTCTGCACATGTGCGGGCCACTTCCTCAAGCATGACACCACCTTAGGGACTTCACGCAGCGGCCCAGGACTGGAAGCTGCCAAGAGACTGCCAAGACCCACATCGAAGCGCAGCAGCACGCGGAACGCGGCCGCCAGATGCCTATGCCGCACTAGAGCTCCTTTGTGTGCTTCTGAATTGCAGCTGCGGCATCTGAAAACTGAAAACTGCTTCTGCATTCTTGCTGCAGAGAGCACTGCATCACGTGCTTCAAACATCTTAGGCAGCGTCCCTTCTCTTCGCCCCGGCAAGCGCAAGTGTTTTTTGCACCTTGGCACTGATGCAAACGCGTTTCGTCATCTGATGCAAAGTGGCAGGCTGAGGGCCGCTCTGGTGCAGGTGGTGCGAGATGTCCTCCAAGCTCATCTGCAGCCTAAATTTGATAGAACAAGTGGTTCTCTTCCATCATCGAGGCTAGTAAGCTCATGACAGTTGCTCCTCAAGAAAGGCCAACAGGCTTGCACCTGGTAGACCGCCCGTTGACTCTCGTTGGCTCGTCTGCGGCTGAGATTCGGCAGAAGAAAGCCCCCCTGGCCTATTCGAAAGACAGCCTGGGACAAGAGCCCCGCACACATGAGCTCTGGTCTAAACTCCTAGCATCCCCTCTCATAACCCCCATAGTAGTCCCCTATACAATCCCCCGTATAACCCCCCTGTTAAGGAGTTTAGACTCTAGCTCAGATAGACATCCATCTGAAAAGGCAAGCGGCCTTCCAACCCTGCAGGAAGAAAGCATCATACACGTAAGCCAGAAGGTCAGGCCTGAAGCTCCAAGCAGTCAGGAAGTGTCTCGCAGGATTAAGCTAGATTGGGTTCCGCACTCCAAACTGTAGGAGAACAGCGTCAAGACCTGCGTTTAGTCAGAGCGCCAAGGCGAACTGCCTCTCTTGACTGTGCCCGCAGCTGGCTGGCTCAGTTGCGGACGCATTGGTGGGCAAAAATCTCCAAAGAATGTCCATCCTGACACGCCAATAACCGGTTGAACAGAACATTTTACTTACCGACTTGGAACACAACGGCTACCACAACCTGGTGGGAAGAAGCACTGCTGATGCTGCAACGTGAATGAATCTGACAACAACTTTGCCGACCTCTCGCAAATGTCGCCAAAGCTTGGGCAGGCATCTCTGCACAATGCCAGCAAACTGGAAAACTCTAAGCCTGAGTCTTCCACATCTGCTGCTTTTCCTAGCCATACGGACAAGTCTCCAAGTCTGATTCTGAGTTCTCAACGGCAGAAGGGGCACCTCAGGAGCAGCAGTGGGACCTTGTTGCTCTTGCAAGTCTGATGACTTCTCGGCATCCTGCCCCTGGAGCAAAAACGTACCGGTAGTGATAACCTGCAGCTTGATGAACTCTGCGAGTCTGTAACCTTTTACTATCGCAGTGGTCAATATCAATCAATATCTGGCATTGTCTTGAAGGTGCATGTTCTGCGACAACTTGCCAGCGCTCCGGGGTTGTCACGCTCTAACAGCGCGAGCAGTAGCCAAAACGCGTCGCAGGCTGATCCCAAATGGATCAGCCTTAGCAGCGGGCTTTGCTTAGAACGACAGCAGTGCTAATCCAACCTGGGCCTTACTGCATCTCAGGCCCTCTCAGCGTGGCAGCCACAAAGTTCATGCCCTGGCAGTAGCCGACATTGGGCCTCAGGGGCAAGTTGGGGGAGTCTGGCAAGTAGCAAGCAGACGCTTAACCGAGGGCTGCGCTCCGCCACGACCAAAGCTTGCAGCACCTGCGAAAACTCATTTGCCCTTCTTGCCAACAGTCTGCGAAAAGTACGTGGCCGCTTAAAGCTGAGCTTTGTAAAGTGATGCCAGCGACAGACAGCACTCAGATGCTCCAGTACATGGTCCAAAAACTTGAAGAGAGCAAACGCTGGCTGGGCCAACTTGAGTGGGATAACTGATGGTCACGAACCTGCTGCAGCTCTTCTCTGCCCTTGGCACCTGCCCCAGCAGAGTGCGACCGCATCACATGCTTATAAAACATTCAATCAGAGAAGCAGAAAGCGACCAAAAATGCGAATCCGCACAAAGCAACAGAGAGTGTCCCCGTGCCTTCCTTGCCTTTGAAACGCTGATGGCTCGGATAGGTGCGGTGCACATCTCGCTCAATCTCTGAGATCTTGGCTTGGGACCTAACAGGTTGTTGCTGCTGCTTCTTGCTGTACCCGTGTCTGCTGCTGGATGGGTACGACAGTGGGGATATGGGCCTACAAAGTGCCACAGGAAGCCTCACAACTGTGCCTATCTGTTCCGAGAACGAATGCTTTCCTGCAGACTGAAGACCCTTCTGGGACCCTTGACAGCGGCCGACGGAGAAGTGCCTCAAAGGCCTCAGTGGCTGAGGCCACTCCAAGCTCGCGCTGGTAGCCTTGGCCCCACGGTACGTGAGAAGGAGGTCACCATCAGACCACTGTTCTTTGAATTCCGTTTAGTCGCGGAGCAAGGCAAGCCTGTACGTTCTGTACTTCTGATATTGTGGGATCTCCTAGTTATAGGAACAAGGGCTGAGGACCAAACGCTGCTCGATATCTTGAACCTGGGCACCAGCAATATCATTTGGCGTCTTTGCTATCGTTTGGTCTTCCTTGGTCTTCCTAGTCTTCCTTCCCCTGCTTGTTCTTTGTCTTCCTCTGCTCCTTCTTCCCTGCGCTCTTGCACTTTGGGATTCTTTCTTCTGCCATGTGCAAAACCTTGAGCTCTGACGTTTTGATTTTGACTCCTCATCTAAGAATCTAAGCAGGGCACGGTGGAAAGATGTCGCCAAAGTGCTCGCCGCAAACTCGGCATGACCCCACCTTGTCTGAGGTCTGACTGCCCTTGCCAGCAACAATCCATTCAAGTCTTCCTTGGCTCTAGGCCATTGAGGATGGACATTTCCATCCACTGCTCCTTTCGGGACAGCTGGTGCCATCGCTTGCCTCAGATGCGCTGCTCTTTCACCAAAGCAAACATGCTGACTTTGCAAGTCTGCGCTCATTTTGCAATGGCACTTTGTTCAAAGGGCACATTCCTAGCCAACTCTGAAGCAAAGGCAAACATGTTGCTTTACTGATGCAACCTGTGGTCTTGTTTTGGTGGCAGCTGTTCAAAGGAAGCCTGAGTCCTTGACACACAGCATCAGCATGAAGGATGTCCCGAAGAGTGGCCCACGGGCAGAAGCACGTCCGCAGCAGCCTTGGCAACTCTATCAAGGTCAGCTGAAGGAGTCCTTTCGTTGAATTGGAGGAGCAAGCCTTCTGTGCCCCTGGCTCTGTGCCACAGTGCTCCAACATGTGCATGAAGGAGCTGCGTCGCCGAAGCAAAGGTTGCGAGGGCTTTGAGCCCCTGTCTTTGGCCTCCTCGCATCAAACTTATAGCAAAGTCTGAATTGTTTGTTTTTTTGGGTACTTGACCGCGAGGAGATCTAGCTATTTCCCTTGTCCTCAGCTGGGCGACAACTCTCCGGTGCCCCGCCTTTGGCCTCAGAGCATAGATCATGATTCAGGATCTCTTGGGACGACCGTCACACATCCTTAAGTCATGCATGATGACGCCTGCCGAATGACTTCTGGGCAAGGGCGTATTGAGGATCACCTCTCAAGCTTCTGGCTTCTGTTCCCAGCAAGGCATCTGGGGCATCATCCGGGGTGGCCTTGCAATAAACGACTGACAGGGGTCACTTGTTTTGCAGCATTACGATCAGTGGCATCTGACCGCCTGTGCATCCCTACACTGGTACACGCGGCATGGAGCTCCGGGAATCCAAGGTCCCCACAGCTTGGGCAACTCCTCGCGCAGGATC